GAGAGCCCCAGAGCTGGATGCAGCACTCCAGGGGTCTCCCAAGGACAGAGTAAAGAGACAGAATTCCCTCCATTACCACACTGCTTTGGATGCAGCCCAGGATGCATTTGACTTTCTGGGCTGCAGGTGCACATTGCTGGGTCATGTCCAGTCTCATGCACCAGAGTCCCCAAGCCCTTCTTGGCAGAGCTGCTCTCAGTCCATTTACCCTCCAGCCTGTCTTAACACCAGGGTTTTCCTCAACCCAGGTGCAGCACCTTGCACTTGGTCTTGTTAAACTTACAGTTAATGTACTGTTAATTATAAAATGCATTTGATGTCTTTGCTGCTCCATCTATGAAAAGAAAAATCAAACTGCCCATTGCAAATCAGTTGTAACCTTCTAAGCAGGTTCCAAGTCATTGTAACCATGAGTATCAAAATTGCTTTTATTCAAGAGCGTTATCTATATACAACATAAGGCTTTACACAGCATATGCCAAATCTGATTTCTTTTCCTCTGCTATTGTGCATCTCTGCTGAGATATAATAAAACGGATTACACTTTTTTAAAAATAGTACAGTTTCACACTTGGGATCCTAAAGATAGCAAAATGTTTTTCTGTTACTGCTGTAGAGCTGTGCCTGCAAACTGTCAAATCCTCAGTGGAGTGTACTGCTGGTCCTGATGGGAAGTTAGTATTTTTTTTAAGAGCTTTGAAAGAAGAGGGTGGGAGGATTGAGTTCTGTGTAGCATAAGGAGCAACTTCACGCACTCACACGTACAACTGCCAAAATAGTTTTTTTTGAACTTAAGCAAAGCAACCTGGAGGGAACATTTGGCAAACTTGTACTGTGGCCAGCAGCTCTCTGCCACCATCTTCAGCATTTGCTTCGTGTTTGAACTTTAAGAGGTGAAAAGAATATTTTAGTGAAGAGCATTTTCTTCCCGTGGGTAATGGAGTCACAGGAGGTTCCTCAAGTTCGTGGTAGTTCACTGACACCTCTTTTTAAATACCATGGCAATTCCCTTTTGTATAATGTAAATACAAATTCACATTAATCATCCAGTCCTGGGTCACTTCTGCCATGAGTAGGTAACAAATGAAGGTTGGAACTGGAGTGAATTGATCCTTTTTGCCATAGGCTCACAAATTGGTTGAATGGCAGTTTTTTGGGGTTTTCTGTACTTGCTATATTGAATCCAGACAGGGTCTGTATTCGAGTAGCCTTTCTTTAGCCATAGTTTTGCACCTTGCTCTTTGGTTTCTTGCTGTATTTCACCCCTTCCTGTCCAATGTGTGGTCTCTCCATTTCTTTCTTTCTGGAGACATGAGTTCAGGGAGACTTGCCTGTTCCTTCAGAAACAACCAACTTCCTCTCTTCCCTTTCCTTTAGCTGGTTGTAATCCCTTGGCTAAATAAGGTCAAACAACCCACATGTGCCTGTGTCCTTTTCCACTTCTCTTCTGTCACTTCCTGATATCCCTGTAATTCTTGATTATCCTGAGCCTGTTTCAACCAAGCGTAGTAGAGAAGAATATAGAGTGCAAAGACAGTGCTGTCCTTGAAAGCTAATTATTGAGGCTGAAATCACTGAAATAGCCAAATAGATAGCTGCTGTTAGAGAAACATAAAGCTTCCCACATACAGATCTGCCTGGAAACTTGAAACCTGTGCAGTAAAAGACACAATGATGAGCAAAGGAGAAGAAAACTCTTTTTTGTAGCAGTCATGTAATGGGACTTGGAATTGCAGAGGAATGCTGGGATAGTGCAGCACATGACTTGAATGTGCTATAGGATGTCATGATCCTGGTATACGTATCTGTTACTTGTTAGGGTGCCAAAGATCTGAAGAAAATTATAGCCCTTCATGTTTAGGGTACTTCCAGGGATTCTGCAGAATGGGAAGGTAGGTTTCTGCTCTGGAAGAAATGATTGTCCCTTCCATAGGAACTTCTTGAGCAGTGACCAAAAAACACTTACTTAAAAAACTTGGGAAAACTATGCCAGGGGACAAGAAGGATGTAAAATTAAAAATAAAGCTGAAATTCCTCAGTGTAGTTGTCCAAGTCAGGAGACGTGACTTGGAGTAAGCCTTTACTGGTTTCTCATTTTTCCTGCATTTGTGTACAGCATATGAAAAATGCATTGTGTGTCTGGAATTGGAACTTGGAAAACTAAGTTCTGTTTGGGACTTGTGTCTAGTAAGTGAGTGACTAGTGGATCACCTTGGTGGCTGAAATGCTCTTTTATATTCCTGAGGTTTCTAATGTAAGTATGAGTTTGAATTGGGATTGGTTTATATATAATGTCTGTTGCAAATATAGAGAATTGCTTTTGGGTTTTGTTTGTTATTTTTTTCTTCCCTCCAATTAAAAAAAAAATAAAATGAGTGGACTATAGAAAAGGGAAACTTAAAGATAATATGAAGGTGTTTAGTTCCTTGTTTGTCTTTGGTCTGTGGGCACTAGTATGCGGGTTTTTTTATGAATAGTTACTCTAAAACAGAATTTTCTTGGTCTCTGGCTGCTGTCTCTGGAGGAGGAGGAAAAGATAGAAAAATGTCTGAGGATAAAATGTTTAACTAAACATTGTATAACTATCTAAGTAATACTTACACTAAATAATTGTCCTGAATGGTTTCTCCCTCTTTTTTGGTGGTGTATCTAAATGCTTTATCCAGAAGAAAGAGTTCATCTTCCAGAAACTTGACTTCTGGTCATTCCAGCATGGTTTTATTCCAGGTGTGGCCAAACATTAAATATAACTTATGGCTTTACTGTGGTAGCTCAAGGGAATTTCCCAGATGTGCTTTGTACCCTTGGGGGCCAGAGCAGCCCAGGATGTTGTGACCTGTGCCTGTCATGCCTGGAATGGGGCTCTTGCAGTGCTCACCACAACTTCTGGCTGCACCTCCATTCTGCTGGTGAACATGCAGCCACATGACCTCTCTTCTTCTGCCTTTGAGACTCACAGTCTGAAACCTGTCAGGAAGAATAGGCTACCAGAGTAAGAGAAGGTCCATGCTAGAAATGTTAGAAGTAAATAATTTTTGAAGCCTTAATTTGTCAAGATTTTCAGAGAGTACAAAGAGCATCACTGAGTATGATTTGCCAGAAAGTTGATATCCTCTGAATTCAGACCAAGTGACTAAAGTAAACCTGCTTGGAGAAATGGGATCCAGTAAATGTTAACAGAGGCAAAAGCACAGTTGCTTCCTGCTTTTCTTATTTCTCCTTCTTGAAACTCATGGAACTTCTTTCTTTTGTCCCCTCTGGAACTGTTCTGGCTCAAAATACATGTCTAAAATAAGTTGTCTGGAAGCACTTGGGAAACGTTCAGAAAGATGTTAGCTTTTATAAAAAGGAAAAGAACAACAAAAGCACAACATGTGAACATTGGGCACCTCTTCATGTACATGTGCTATTATTACTCTCTTTCAGCAGCATCTTGGCTGGCTTGTTAGTGCATTAATACAGGCTGCTTGCTTTGATGACACTGAATCTGTTGCTGAGGTGGTTTTGCTGCCTTTGTTTAAAGACTGGGAGTATGATGGTGCCTCACACCTCGTGATTATTGAATTATTTAGCTGAGATCAGTCTGTCTCAGAGCTCTACCAGGAAGCTGCTCTTTGAAGTTGTGTGAAGAATTGCAGGGGCTCAAATGTCTCTGCTGATGGTTTTCTACTGCCAGAGGTGAGAAGCACAGCGGCTACTTCAGGGTAATTTATCATCTTTTTCTACAAAGTAATGGCTCACTTTCTTTTCCCCAAGTGGACCTTGGATACTCTTCAGAAAAAGTGATAGTTGAATATATGAAATTTAGTGATACATCTTATTTTAGACTTCATCATTCTAATTGAAAACTACTAATAAAATGAAGAAAAACATGTAAGAGAGGAACTGCAGGAATTTTGATTTTGGAGGACGCTAAAGCAAGTGAGAATTACTGTAGCTGTGGTTTCAAACCATTTATATGCACACTATTGAGCAGTGGAAGAAGGCTTTGCTACAGCTGTACTTAGTAGTTAATCATGAAAGAGAGGATGCCTTCCAAATAAATGCTGTTCATCCCTATTAGATACACTTTTCTCTTTTTTTTTGTTTATACATTGGTACATTTGTCCTGGCCTTGTAAAACTGTGCAGGTTGGCATATTGATGTGCCATAGGGCCACGTTAAAATACTTGCCTCTCGTCTGTCATATTTGAAAACCTGTGAGTTGTAAGCACATCTTAGATTGGGTAGATTTGGTGTAGGAGTAGGAAACATTTGCTTAAAAGGCCAGCAAGCTCTGGATCTGGCTTCTTTCCTGGAGTTATCCCATCAGTGGTGTTACCACATTGCACCATACACACCTTCCTGCAGGTACCAGCATGCTTCTCCTGCAGAGACTGCCTTTATTTTAGAGTGGACTGTCTGAAGACTTCAGGGTCCTTGTGGTCCATCAAGTCAGGAGAAAATTTGAAAAACCAAAAATATCACCTTTTGTCTTGTAAAATTGCTTTTGTTGTTAGGAGTTGTTTTTTTCTAGGCTGGTGATAGCACAGGATTTAACTAGTGCTTGCCTTGAGCATCATGGTGGAACCATCTTCATTACTATGTCTGAGGGCAGTGTTCTCTTGCTGTGAAGAGTTGCTGTGCAGTAAAGTAAAAAATGTGTAGTAATTGAGATCATAATGAGATTCTGTAATCATGTGTTAAACACATTTTGATGCTATTGTTAGTATTTAATGTTTTATGAATAGTTGTGCTGTGCAGCAGGAGATACAGTGGTCCTTTTGCACCCAGTTTTATATAATTCATGTTGATAAAGGCAGTGTTATTTGAGTTTGCAGCCCGAAAAATATTTTTATAAGGGTCTCTCGTGTTTTTTAGAGACACTGGTTTGCTTGGAAGGCACCTAAAATCCGTGCCAACAGCACTGCATAGAGCACCCTTAACTGTACTGCTACAATAGGGTCTCTAACCATTGTAAATAGTTCCCCTCACCTCTGCCCACTTGTCTCTTCTCACAGCAAAAGCCAAATCCAAGTGTGGTGCCACGTTCTTCCCCTGTGCCAGTGGGATCCACTGCATCATTGGCCGCTTCCGCTGCAACGGCTTCGAGGACTGTCCCGACGGCAGCGACGAGGAGAACTGCAGTAAGTGAGGGCACTGTGCTCATTTCACCCAGCTGATGCCACTTAGAAAGGAAACATTCAGTAGCCTTCAGTTTCTGAGTCACATATTCTCCATGATGATCCTTGGCGTTTCACTTCATGAAAATGAGTTAACCTTTTATTTTTTTTAAGGTCCATCTCAGTCTTGCTTTGTAAATAATTCCTGTATGATACTTCAAGCCCCTGAAATGAGTTTTAAGCTGCATGCTTTCAGCATGTTCTCTGTACTCAAATGTAACTCAAATTGGACAATTATTAAATATAATTTGAATTGTTCCATTTTTATTTGCCTGTTTCTTATCACTGAAGAATATGTGATGTATTTGGTCATCAGCACATCTGGGTTTCTCTGTTTATACATGTTCTCAAACAACAAAAATGAAAATAATGGCATGTTTAGTGAAACAGGTTTTTGGAAGGAGAGACAGATTCTTGAAGGCAGACATGCCTGCCAATGCACAGCAGCAGGGAAGTTGTAGCAGAGAGATGATCTGAAGTACTGCTTGTTTTGGGATAAACCCTCTGTGTGTGGCTGCACAGATTCATTTGTATCTGTAAGTCTAGCAGGGATATATCATAGCAGGATATAGCATAGTAGGGGAAAGTTATGTTGAATCCAGCAGCTCTGTTACTATTGAGAGCTCGTAAAAGCATGGGTCTCTAGGTGCAAACTTGCAGCAAAATACTTGCTCATTCTCCTGTCAGAGGCATGCTGAGGTTTTGTTTTCAATGACTTTTAAAGGTCAGCAGTAGGACAACAGACAGCAGCTTTCAAAGATAACAAAAGGGGCAATCTTTAGAGTGATCTATCAGTGTCTGCTTCACGGAGGACTTGCCTTTCTTGTTGGTGGTTGGTGTGCTTTCCCCCACAGCATGAACCTCTCTTGAGGTGGCATCTGTGCTGGAGAGTTTGGTTTGGGCCCTGCAAGGACTGTGTGACTGTGGCAGGGAGTCAGCACTTCTGTGGAGAAAGGGAAGCATTGAAGGCTAAGGAAATTACTTATATATATATTTATATATACTTGAGCAAGTGGACTAAAACCAAGTTTTGTCAAAAGTGTTTTGAATATCCTTCAGGTGTTGGACTGACAAGTGGCAGGTCTCAACTGAAAGTGCACCAGCTTATTGAGTTCATTAGGAATGACACAATTTCCTGTGAGCTTATAGTGCGTAGCTCCAATAGGAGCTTACAGCTGATGATAACATGCTACTGATCTCCCCATTATTCTGTGCCCTTGAGGCACTTGGTGGTTTTTAGCATGTCTAAATTTCTAGTTACTGTTTATGAAGAGGAACAACCATGTAGTTCTAAGGTGATCTCAGAAACCAATGTGGTATGCAAGTGTGCAGCAGTTTCAAACCAATGGGGTTTTAGCATGTTTGTGCTAAACAAGCTCTTGGGGAGCTGGAGAAATTGGGAGTGTTTGTTACTTGTCCTGCAGGTTATGTGCAGGGCAGACTTTAAAGTTTTCTTTATTTATTCGTTTATTCGTTAAAAACTCTTTAAATGTAGCTGTTATTTTAAAGAAGAAAAAATGGAAGCCAGTTAGTATTTGGAAAGTGTAATCCCCTTTGTTATTGTGGCAGAGAAGCAGTTTGAAGTAGACAGGGCATCTAAGCAGCCTTTTTAAGATTTTCAGTTGGAAAGTTGCATTCTGTTTCAGTCACCCCATTAGCAATCACTTGGAGTTCAGAGAGGAGTGCCAAAAAGTATTAAAGGAAAGAGATTGATTTATGAGTAGATATTAAAACCAGCTAAATTATGCATATCTCAGCTAAGTGGTGACTGTTTTGAAGGATATGGTTATATATGACGTATATGAAGGGTGCAAACATTGTTCCTTAAAAAGGAGTTGAAATTCAAACAGTGAGAAGCTGAGAGATTTCAACATTACCATTGTATCAATTCCAAATAGTGAGGAGAATGGGGAAGAGAATCAAAGGTAAATAAACCACTGCCTGGCAGTTCTCAGTCAGAACTGTTGTCTTACAATATGAAACTTCAGCTAAACTGAGTCTTCTGTAATCGGAATCAACAGGCAGTGTTTATGGTAGGCAGTTCTACCCTCCATATGTCTTCAGTGTGAGCAAATGTGTGGAACAGTGATCATGATTGGGCTCTCAGGAAAATGAACAGAAGGCTTATCACAACAGTGGGTGGGCTAAATCTCTGCTAATTGTAATGAATCTTGCATAAATTAGAAGTTTCAGCTCTCCCTGGTTAGAGAGCCAGGGTTGGTTTGATTGCCAAGTTACTCCCACACACCCAGTGAATTGACCAGCTGTTGAGTTGTGACCTGTGGTTGATGCTTATCAGCTATTTAACTGCCTGGGCAAGAGAATTCCTAATGAAAGGTATCACTTTCTCTTTTTGCAGCAGCAAATCCCTTGCTTTGCTCTACTGCCCGGTTCCACTGTAAAAATGGTCTTTGCATTGATAAAAGCTTTGTGTGTGACAGTCAGAATAACTGCCAGGACAACAGCGATGAAGAAAGCTGCGAAAGCCCTCAAGGTAGGAACAGGGGTTTTATTCTCTTCTGCCATATTATACCAACTCAAATTAACACAGAACAGGCTCAGCAGAAAATGTGATTCTGTTGGCTTGCTCTGTGTTGGCTACCACTGCAGATAGTGGGAGTGAAATGTATAGAAAGTGTGCACATGCATGCATTGTATTCTCAGTGCTCAGAAGAGTGGTATCTTTTCCAGGCTAGTAAAAACACATTTTTGCAGGAAGTGCTTGTAATCTGTGATCCAGTGCTCACTGAAGTTGCTGGGAGCCAGTACTTCTGCGAGATGGATTGGACCTGAGGGGATTGATAGTAAAACCCGAGTTGGAAGTGAATCTGTCTGTTTACCAGATGAGTAAATCTTGTGTATGCTTAAAGCTTTAGATCTTCATTGCTCAGCTGCCTTCTGAAAGACATTTTTAACTGCAGGACAGGTCTACAGTGAAAGCATTTATTCCTACCCTTCTCCTGAAGACAGGGAAGAAAATATTTATTTGAAAATTGTTGTGTATTGAGTCTTGGGAGAATCTCAAAAAACAGTGACATTTCTATTCTTTTTAACCTATCATGTAAGTCCACAGGTAGTGCTTCTCGGTTTTGTTTTCTGTTACTTAATACCACAATATTTTATGAAACTTGAAATATATAAGAATGACTTGAGGTTAACAAACAGTGTGTATTGGGCATCTGCTGCTGAACATTTTAATGTCTGAGTTACTACCAAGAGATCAGAGTAGAAATAAATGTGGGAAACGGTGGATATTTTCAGGGGAGACGTGGTGTGCTTCAGCCTATAGAAAGCAGGACAGATAAAGAGAGATAAAGCAGCATATGAAGGAAGATGTAATTAGTGAAGTTGAAGGAGAATTGCATTACTATCTACCTGAACTGATTAATTAATCCTTTATGGAAAATAAAGATAGTGATAAATATTCTTGACAACTCACAGAGGAAGAGGAAAAACAACAGCAATGCCAACAAAGCAGGGTTTGTAGCAGTGGTGTGTGGCAGTCTCTTCTGTGCCATACCTCTGTCTCACCTATGAGCTCTTTCCTTGGCTCCACACGTAAAGGTTGGAGGGGTCATCTTGGTAACTCCTGTGCATGCTGAGCCACATCACAGCCTGGGCATGGAGCTGTGCTGGGATCAGAGCCTTGGAGAGGGTCTGGCCTGGCCCTGCTCTCTGTCGGGAGTGGGACGAAAGGGCTGCCAAGGGCCTAACACGTGCCCAGGGCTGGACTGTTCTTCACTACAGCTCTAAGGCAGCCTAATCACATTAATGTGGGTGGTAAGGTTTCTTTTGCTTTCTCTTTTTTTTCTTTGCTTCTGAAGCTTAAAGCAGCAGTGCTATTCTTCTAGGTTGGGATGACTGCTTCCTCTGCAGATTAATTGGCTGGATTGCCTCCAGGTTGTTTGTTGTCATGACAATCTGCTTTTGGAACTGACTGTCAGGCTCAAGAGAAGAAAAGAGCTGTATTTCATGAGACTGTTACTTTTGTCTTCATATTTGGACCTTCTGGAAATGTTAGATTAGTAAGAGGGTAAGCAAAGTAATTCATTCTGATTACATGTGTGAAAGAAGCTCAGACAAGGAAGAAGGAACTCTCTCCATTAGGACAAGAACAGCCATGGTTGTGGGCTTATTAAAAAAAACAAGATCCAAGTATGGGGTTGGGAATGAGGAGTTGCCAAAGTGAAATGCTGGTTGTGGGGAGCCTGTGCAATTGGCTTTTCCCGTTGGCAGCTCAGAGCCTCCCTGCATTGCTGTTTCACTGTCTGTAAATGGACGATGCATGAGTACCTATCTTTCAAAGCTGGGATTAAAACAGTGTGATGTGTTCAACTTCCCATCTGAATATAAATGACAATTTCCTCTGGAGTTTGCAGCTACAGGTATGTCTGTCCTGGCTTGCAAACACACCAACTACTTTGTTAATTGAGAGTTAGACGCTACTGTGGACAGTCTTTAATTTCTCACAGTTCTTTCTAAGGCAGATCTAATTACTGTAATTACAATGTGTTTATGTTAGCACAGTACCCAAGAATCCTGGTCATTAACTACAGCTCAAGTGCTCTGAGCACTTGAGGGTCAGAGCAAGGCAGATCTGTATGGTGCTATAAAATGAAGATAGAGGGGTTTCTTCCCACTGGCTATGTTATGTCAAATGTGGTAGCTTTAGTTCGGTGTAATTGAGTGTAATCTGCCATATGAGATTATCCTTGTGTACTGTTTTTCTATCTGTAAATGTGTCGATTTAGAAGTCACTGTGCTTCTGAACCACTGCATGATAGTGTTGTTATCACCATTTAACAGATGGGAAAGAGGGTGTAGATCAGTTAAAGGAAATGCTCCCAGGGTGCCGTCCTGGCTGGTAGGAGAGCTTCAGCTGTACTTGTCTGTTTCAGGGGCATGTCTTTAATTTAATCAATGTTTGCAAACTGTTTTGAGATACCATTATAACACGGGAAATAGAAGTGTGAATTATTAATTGATACTTTGCTCTCCCCTTCTGCTCTTGGGTATACTGACAAGCTTTTTAAATTATCACCTCTTCCTGCTCTTCCATGAACTTCAAAGGCCTCCTTTATCCTGCTGTCATTGCTGCAAAGCTCCAGTAGCATATCAGTTTTGTTTGTGTCAGATATTCCTCCATGCATAAGGATCCTTTCAGTGAAGAAGGGTCACTCTGTAGACGAGGAAAACAAGAATGTGGCCTCCTACTGAAAAGCATATTGACCCAGCTTTGACATGGAACACTTCAAAATGTGCCATCCTCGATGAATAGCAGCTCTGCTAACATGCTGCAATTTGAAATGAAACTGAAGATGTGCATTTATAAAGATAAATTTTAGTCACAAATAAAAGATTGATTTAAGAGGAGGGAGGGATCCATGATTTAGTTGTGAAAATGAGAGGAAGATCAAATTTTGGAGGGCGTTCCTGCCCTCTTTTCTCCTTACCATTTGTAACTGAGTGCTGTGTATTTTACAAAGGTTTGCATGTCATGAGGAAAGTGTCAGATCAAAAAGTGTCAATTTAGCAACAAGTCAAAGAATTCTTCTCTAATTCCTCACAGAAGTTATCTGTAGCTCTTGTCACTGCCATGATAAACTTCAGAGCAATTCTTTTAATCCCACCCCAGCTATACTTTGGTCATCTCAGTTTTCCAGCAGTGAAGTAGCACAGAAGAATATTTCCCTTAATCTGGAATGTGATGTATTCATGAAAGCATGTGTGTGAGTCTTGGGATTGGATGGAGGATATAATTGCTTGGATTATCCACACCACTCAAATATATGAATTACTTCAGAATAGTTCTTTCTAGGACATTACTCCAGGTTTAATAATACCAGCAGTGATTAGAAATCTCTGCTCCTGTTCTGTGTTTAACTGATCTCAATTCAGGGGGAAGTTTCTCTCCCCCACACACTTTTCTCCTATGCCTCTATTTAGCTGACAGTGTTAATCATTCATAGTATCTACTCTGGGTGTTTTCCTTAGGCCTATCTGTTGCTGAGGGGATTTCCTGTTCTGTGACAGGCATCCACTCAATTGGAAAGGAATTACTCCTTCTCTGTATCTTCCAACGACCAAGTAAATTTGTTCAGCTCTAGGACTGTGTTTAATTTATTCTCTTAATTGGTTTGGGGTTTTTTTCATCTAAACGTGTCCTCACAGTGCTTCTTTTCCTCCATTTTGTACTTTTAGTTTAGAAGACTTCAACACTAACAAAAACATACTGAGTAGTTTCATTCAAACCCATTTTTCTTTCATGGCCCATCTTTTCTTTCTAAGTTGCTAAATACCTTTACTAGCTTTAACCCTGTTGCCTAGGAAAGGGAGTTTTATTGCTGCTAGTCTGTATTCACTCTGTCTGCTGCTGTAAAGAGAGGCTCTTGATTTCAGTAATATTCCTGAAATTCTACTTCTGCAGTTGTTTGTAAACAGTACCATTGTGGTTAAGTTACAAACCAAATGTTTTGTGAGTGTTCAGATGTTAATTCTTGTCCTCTGTATTTAGTAATGTCCACTGCTGTCCATGTGGATTCCTCCTCCTTTTATTTTTTGTGAATCTTTTCATTGAATTTGCATTAGGATTTTTATATACCCCAGCATTCTAAAACAAATTTAGAAGTATACACTGTCTTAGAAGTCTCTGTTATTTTCTCTTGGGTGTTTATAAATTGCTTATATAAAACTTCTCAGCATTGTAAAAAATAAAAATAATGTGTCGAATAAGAGGAAAATCATTCAAATGTTGACTTCCTAAAATGAATTTTTATGTGATAATGTGAATTCTGTAATGATAATCTCTGTGGATTAAGTTATAGGCAAATCTGGAAGTCAGCTGGCTGTAGAGGTAAGCACCAAGGCCATTGCCAATATTTACATGATTGAGTTGCAGTGCAAAGTGAGTTTTAGAACCAACAGCTTAGTGGAACAGACGTACTCTAAATTTCAGTGAAATAACATAAAAGCTAATTTATGAAACACAAATAGCCCCCAGAACATCCCACTCCGTATGGAGCTTGTAACCAGCCCTTTGCACGTGGTAAATTGAAATTCTGAAATTCCCAAATGCTGTGGTATCACTTAGACATCCCAAGGCTTTGTAGTCTGATCCTGTCTGTATGAAGGATTTTATTGAGTCTCTCTGACTCATTATTGTCTCAGTCTGTAAACTGAAGCTCAACTTGCAATTATTGTGCATAATCTTAGCCCAGATTCAGCCTGCAGCAGGAATTTAATACTCAGAGGCAGACTGAATAGAAGCGGAAACATAAAGGAAGGATACAAATAAAATGTCATTGAATGTTTTATTAAATGAAAGCTTTGCCTGACCATATTTAGCTCTCTAATATCCTTCTTTTGTAATACTTGCTATATGGAAATGGTTTTGTTAGCTGTGAATTTTTTCTTTCCTATGTTCCTCTATTCCCTGAATCCAGGCTTCTTCTTCTTTCTCTTTTTTCCTCCTCAAAAGATTATTTATTTCAGAGA